GCCGGTGACCCTTTCGTTCCTTACATCTTCGAAGTCTCTTACATCACCGCTTCTCCTCTCGGCGTTCCTCAACAGGTTTCGTTTCGCCTTTTTTTCCCTCTGAAATCTCGTTTTTTGTTCTCTGATGCAACTTCGAAGACTGTAGTAATCTGATTCACTTTATAGAGATTCTGTTTCCTGATTTTTGCTCAGACTCGTCTCGTACTTGTTCCTTTTTTTCCCCTCTGGATCTAACTTAGGGTTCGTCGGAAGTGGTTATCGCAAGTTTACTGGGATTTAGCATTTCTGATGGAATTGTTCCTTGTAGGTTATAGCCGTCAATGAGAAATTTCCAGGGCCTGTGATTAATGCTACAACCAACTACAATGTTCTTGTTAACGTATTCAATCGTTTGGATGAGCCTCTCCTACTCACTTGGTGATCATCTTTAACATGATCCTTAGTTTTTGAGAGTTTTTGACTACTTTTGTTTTTGATTCAGTACTCTCTACATTTTAAGGCTTCTTGTTGTTCCTGACATTATTACTCTTCCTGGGTTGTTTAAAACTCTGATAGGCCTGGTGTTGAGATGCGGCGTAACTCGTGGCAAGATGGTGTTCTTGGCACAAACTGCCCAATTCCACCGAGATGGAACTTCACTTATACCTTTCAATTGAAAGATCAGATTGGAAGTTTTTACTACTCCCCTTCACTTAACTTCCAGAGAGCTTCTGGGGGTTTCGGTCCAATCATAATCAATAACCGGGACCTTGTTCCTCTCCCCTTCTCTAAGCCTGATGGTGAAATCAGCTTTGTTATTGGTGATTGGTATACTCAGAACCATACAGTAAGCGCACTTTTGGGGTCTAATGGTGTTTACTCACTCACCTTTATCATAAGTTCCAATGTCTTCAATTTATATTGGTGAAACACTGTTGCTTTTTAGGCGTTAAGGAGTATACTTGACTCTGGTAAAGAACTTGGGATGCCAGATGGAGTCCTTATCAATGGGAAGGGTCCTTACAAGTATAACAGCAGTGTACCTGATGGAATTGAATATGAAACCGTTAATGTTGATCCAGGTAAACGTCTTTGAGAGTTCTATCGTAGTTTTGCTTTCATTCTGTTTCCATTTCCATCCTCAAATTTTGTTTCAGGAGTTATGTGCGTTGGATCTCCAGTGACAGTTATTTGTGCTGCTTTAATCGTTGCATTGAAATTCAGTGTTGGCTATGATTTTTTGTTCCCTCTTGCTTCATACGGATTACATTTTGCAGGGAAAACATACAGAATCCGCGTTCACAATGTTGGTATCTCGACAAGCTTGAACTTCAGGATTCAGAACCACAAATTGCTCTTAGTTGAAACTGAGGGTCGCTACACCTCTCAAACAAACTTCACCGATTTCGATATTCATGTGGGACAGTCTTATTCTTTCTTGGTCACCATGGACCAAAACGCCTCAAGTGACTACTACATTGTGGCAAGTGCTAGGTTTGTGAATGAAACAGTGTGGCAAAGAGTCACAGGTATTGGGATTCTTCATTATTCCAATTCCAAAGGACATGCTTCTGGTCCTCTGCCTGTTCCAGCAACTGATGTTTCTCACCCTTGGTCTGTAATGAGCCAACAAAGGGCCATAAAGTATGTCTATAAAACTCTTCAAGCAACTGGACTGTGAAATGTAGGCATGTTAATCTAATCCTGAATCATTTCATATGTAGGCAAAACACATCTGCAAGTGGAGCTCGTCCAAATCCGCAGGGATCATATCACTACGGGCAGATAAATATCACAAGCACATACATCTTGAGGAGTATGCCTCCAACAACAATCAATGGGTCACTTCGGGCTACGCTTAACGGGATTTCATTTCTGAATCCAAGTACACCCATGAGACTTGCAGATCAGCATAAACTGAAGGGAGTTTATAAGCTTGATTTCCCGGAGAGACCCCTGGATAATAGACCTCCACGTATAGACAGATCTATCATCAATGCAACATACAAGGGCTTTATACAAGTTATTTTCCAGAACAATGACACCAAAGTCCAGAGCTTCCATATTGATGGATATTCATTTTACGTTGTTGCGTAAGAAAATCATGCCACTCCTGCTTTCTTTGTTTTTCAATTTCGATCTGCTTCGTTGCTTTGACATGAATTTCCAAAAACTGGAATTCCAGGATGGACTTTGGTATCTGGTCAGAAGACAAAAAGGGTACATATAACAACTGGGATGCAGTATCACGAAGCACGATTGAGGTTGATTCACATACATTTGCAATCTGTCTCTCTGTACACACCATTTGAAGATAACATGTTGGTCAGCAGGTTTAACTCTTGAGTTTTTTGTTTCCATCTTTGCTTCAGGTTTACCCAGGGGCATGGGCAGCTGTACTTATTTCCCTCGATAATGTCGGATTTTGGAACATCCGAGTTGAGAATCTTGACAGATGGTATCTTGGCCAAGAAACATACTTGCGAATTGTAAACCCCGAGGAGAACGGAAAGACGGAAATGGATCAGCCTGACAATGTTTTTTACTGTGGTGCTCTTAAGACCTTGCAAACGTAAGCATCATTCGAAACCCTCTCCTTCTCTCATATAACATTAGATGATGCAAAAATCCTAATATACTCTTCTTTGGCGATCTCCTACAGGGATCAACACAACTCTGCAGCAACATCTATACTAAATGGGCAGTTGAAGCTAATTTTCAGCATGATGATGGTTTTGGTCGTCACCTGGGTTTCGGCCTTTTGCTGAGTCTCTTGCATCATTCAGACATCTTCTCTGGTCTTTTACTCTGTTTTCGCATTGGTTAGGTTGTAGATTGAAGAACATAACAAACTGTTTTCTTTTTTTCTTCCTTCATTTCATTGATTGTTAGGTACACAGGTCTTTTAATGGTCATGGCTCAAAACAACTTTAGTTCTGAAGGGCTTGTGTCTAATGCATGGTTCTTCGTAGTTAAATCATGTTCCTTGTTCAACTCTTCCCAACTGTAACTAAAGCTCTCTATTTTATAGGTCTTCTATATTATTTCTACCATTATCCTCGTATCTAATTATCAGATAAGCAAATGCTAAAACTAGAGATGGACAAAGTTCCCGTCTTGTTCCATATCAAAATGTACTTTTGATTAGGACAATTGTCAGGATGAATAACTGGGACCTGGTCGAAAATTTCGGTTTTGTTCTGTTCCGAAATTCCGATTCGCACGGCCCTTTACTGTACGCCGTTTGCGCATCTATAGTTAAAACTTCAATTTCATAACAAAAACATAATAAAGTATATTCAGCTTAATAAAATTTTACATCATTGTAGTTTAAGCACAAGAAAATGAAAAACCATAGACGGCCTTAGAGTCCGGAAGTGAAGGGTATGCCGGTAATTGGAAGCCACGCAGTACCGGCTATGAATCTTCCGACCGTGAAGCCAGATGCATCGGAAGCTCTTTTCAACACATGAAACCCTTTCCAGCGGACACGCAACTTGGTGGACGAAGCTGGTCCGGAATTCTTATATTCCGCATAGAACAACGTGTTTAGACCGAACACTGAACCTTCAATCCACGGAGACCACCCATCTGGACTCACAACACTATCTAAATACGTCTGAAGAACCACGGTGCGTGAGTACTTCATCCAAGGCCGGCCCATATACGTCTTAACGCTACTGACCACTGGTTTTAGATCAGGAGCCGGTAGGATTCTAGAGTTATGGATAGAGATCCCTGTGTTCTGGAATGGATCAGCACGACCTTGTGCGGTTATTACATTGGCTTGACCCTTGAGTGGGAGACGAGGGAGGATGAGACAGTTTTGGAAAACGGCGGCTGCGTTTCCAAAGATGAAATCTACCGTTCCATAGATGTAGCAGTCACGGTAAAACTGGCGTTGCGAATGGACCATTAATGTGTCTTGGTATCCTTCGATTGAGCATTTGTAGAAGATTGAGAGGTCCGAGGATGATCGGAGTGCCACGGCCTGGCCCTTGGCCGGACCTGCCGTGTTCCGGAATGTTAGACCTTTGGCTATGAAGTGAAGTCCCTCGATACCTGGATCACACGCAATTGAGTACTCAGAGCCAAATGAAATAAAATTTCGAATAGTAACGCTTACTCATTTTGCGGGAAATAAAGCAACGGTTACG